GCCTGCGTCCAGAGATCCTATCATTAAAGATATTTGTCGCCAACTATCGGCAATTTCCGACAGTCTGGACCGAGTAAGTTGGAATGCAGAGGCTAGTGGACTCTTTTCTGTTGCTTCAGCGTTGAACTATGTAGAATTTTAGGGCTAATATGATGGCAATGACTTGATAATTTAATAGGCATCTAATGTTTGACCTTCTTATATGTAGTAGGCGATTTGATTTATGTCGGTTGTGACTCTTTAAGGAGATCCGGTTCTAAAACCGAGCTTTCTTTGCACTCTTTTATGGTTTGGAGCTGATGTGATGACGATGATTGGTTAAGACTTGATAATTTAATTGGCATTTGTTTCCATTTAAAAATAATAATAAAAAAATAATGTACTTATACGAATTAGTTCTAGAGAAAGATATATAGAATTATGACAATAATATTTAAGTAGATAGTTAAAAACAAAACAATCTTATAGGTATTTGCTGAACCAAGCACATACTCATGTACTTGCTGAACCAAACACCTTACTCATGTACCCAAGGACCTTACTCATCTAAGCTAGTAGTCTGACTCATCCAAGCTAGTGATTTGATGGGAGGCATGCAGAGGTTACACCTTGCAATTTTGGAAATTAGTGGTAAGCTTAAAACCAATAGGAATTGGATATTTTTGAGGTAGTCATGAAACAAGCAGCTTACAAGATTCCTAGGGAGCGACTCAGCAGAGCTATAACCGATGAGTTGTCCATCTAAAATCCATGAGTCTGCAAAGCTATAGGCTGGTATGATGGTGAAGTACACATCTCTTCTATGCCTTATAAATAGGAGTTGAAGATTTTGCTATTTACTCACACCTTAAGACAAACCAACACCTCAAAAGTTAGATTGGTAGTATAAGTGAGTGAGTAAGTTTCTGAAGTTTAGGGTTCAAGGAAGGAGACAGAAGGAGAAGAAGGTAGCAGCAGCCAGATATAGAAAACGTTTTGCTCAAGGGAGGTAACTAAGTAGTTCCTCTTCTTAGTTTATTAGTAATTTTAGTCTAATGTTTATTTTCAATAGCTTTTAGTGGCATGGGAAACGTTTAAAAGTTAGCAAACCCGTAACTGTTCTTAATGTCGGCCGCATCATATGGGTCTGCTAAATTTGGTATAACTCTCTACAAGAAACTTGTATTTAGGAGCCGTTTGTTGATTTGTAAACTAGACTCTCAGATCTTTTCAGTGATATATAATATGCACCCTGAATCCTTATTAAGTTAGGCTATTCATTCACCGTAAATGCCTGGAAATGTTAACCTTAGTACGAAAGTTTAGCGTTTTAAGTTTTTAAATGTTGAAAATGTTTATTAGATTGTTAAGTTGGAATTATTGCATTATTAGATAATAATTGAGGTATCATAGAATGAATCTTAAATTTTATAAAACTTAATATTAGCTAAAGGACTCTAAATCAATAAGAAATCATGGCTTTTTAAGTAGACATACATATCAAGCCATAAAAGTAAAGCTATTATGATAAATATATAAATACATACATATATACAAAGATATATATATACATATATACAAAGATATATATATATTTATATATATAATAAGATGATTACTAAATAAAATCATATGAACTATCAATAATATTTAAGTGTTTATTTAGTGTTATTCGATACGTGTTGCAGGCAACACTTCCACGGAGGCGGCAACCCTAAATAAATAGTACTTGTAAGTAATCCTCACTTTTTTCCAAAATTATTTCAAATCTGGGAGTATGGATACATTTGAAAAGACACTACACATGAACACATTGTTTAAAAGTATTTTTGAACATTGTTATTAAGCCATAAAGGTGATCTTATTCGCCTTAGGGTGTATTTGTTGAGTGAACTTGTTCTCTAGCCTAATTACTTAATAAACGTGGAACTTTGTGTAGCTATAAGCCATGTTTGTGTTTATATGTGCATGCTTAAGGGCCCGAGGTGACTGGTTGAGCAAATGTGTCGTGAGCTGGCATAGGGTTTGGTCATATCCATTGTCAACTGTGGTTGTTTAGGGTTCTCTTGAGATATCCGGTCGCGACATTGTGTATTGGGTGAAATTTGAGTTAAATTGGTACCTTGTCAGAAAGATCACTCCTTCTAAACATCAGGTATTTATAGCCTGACTGAAATTAACGGAAATGGCTAGGTAATGGTTTAATCATTCTTGCCATATCGGCTTTCGGGATAAATTCTTTTCATGGCATTTTAAAATTTGCTTTTATTATGTGCTTATGTGGTATAATATGTTCTTATTTGTTCTGTATTTCTATAACTACATTTTGAAATGTTTGATTATTTCTATTTGAAAATATATACTTCTATCTAGTATTAGTGCAAACTCCACTGAGCATGGCGCTCACCCCTTTATTTTATATAAATATCCCTCCCAGGAGCTAAGTTACGAGCAGAATAGAGCATGAAGGGTTATTGTACCTAAGGGTGCTTGTTATAAAGTTGTTATGCTAGTCTTTAGTTTATAAGGTTTCAATAATGATAGGGCTATGGTTGTATTACCTACCTTGTTTCCGCAAATAAGGGACCTGTAATATTGTATCCATTGGCAGTTGCCAACTTCAAATAATATATTCTCTTTACTTTATGTTACAACCTTTTTACTTCGATAGTTTTGGCAGTTAGCCAAAACGGTAAAACCTTGGCTCATTGATCTAGAATTATTTTGATAAGCGTTTTTTTAGAAAAAGGGACCAATAAACTGGGTGGTTACATTTGTTATCTGATTTTGACTACAATGAAAAAATGAATCTATAGAAAAACAAAATAACATAAAGCTAAAATAAAATGGCAAGAGAAGATGTTTTCTTTGAGAATTTCAAGAGAATAAAAACAATAATAACAATCAGTAGTGAAATTATTCAAGACAGTATAAAATTAATTTATTATCATCATAAACATCTTTACGTTTCTACTTTCAATTTAAATAAGAACTAATTTACATATTAAAAATTATACTTCAATCTCAGGTTAAAAAACGAGGGAGATTATTATGTAATCAATTGGACGACGATTAGATAATAAGATTTTCATTATTAGATAATTCAATATGACGGTTGAAATGAATGTGTAATCCATCGAATGGTTTAAATATGGATGACAATGACGATAAGCCAATCATTATTAGGCAATCTCATCCAATGGTGATAATGTTAATGTTTTCATTCTATAAATATGGATAACAAGATCGAAACTTATTGCACCCACAAAGTAATAGTTTAATATTCCTGTCATATTCTTGCATTTTACTAGTATATTAGATTTTCAAAAAAAAAAAAGGCTTTTCGAGTTGCAGGATACACAAATGGTGATGAAAAACTCTTATGTCAAGTTTATATGAAGGTCTCGCAAGATCCAAGTATTAGAAGTTAGTAAGAACGGGAAGATATTTGGAGCAGGATTGCTGAAAATTACAATGAAATAACAAAAATGAACAGTTGGATTCAACTAACGATAGATCTCTACAAAACACCAATGACACTATAGAAAAAGTAATTCAAAAAATACGTGGATGCTACAAACAAGTGGAAGACAAGCATACAAGAGATGCAAATGAAAAAATTTATGTAAGTAGTGACTAATTTTATGTGTTTTATATACTTTGACGATGATTAATAATTTTATTTATATAGTTTGCAGTTACATCGTGCAAAAGATTTATTCATCTTGGAGGATGGGTACAAATCAAGGTTCAAATTCGATTATGTGTGGATTTCAAAGATTTTGAGAAATATAATGATGATGGGACTGCAGCAAGGCACAAATTCAATAGATGTACTTCATTTGAATTTGATAATCTAAATCCCGAATCTCAGGTACATGAACCTCAAATATCTGAATCTTTTGATTTTTCTAACTTGAGTGACAGCCATATAGGCAGATCTTTGTATAAAAGACCTATTGGTGTGGAAAAAGGCCAAAAGTAAGTGAGAAATGGAGAAACAATAACTTACAAGTTGCAAAATTTCAAAGAAGCACATCAAAGACTTCTTGAGATCTTACAAAAGTCACACCATGATCGTAATGCAAGCATGAGAAAAAGATGGAAATTCAAATGTAAAAAATGGCTTCAGAGAAATTTGATGAAAGAAAATGAAACCATGGAGAAAGACCTGGACCAAATTCAAATCTTAAATACCTTGCTTTTATTGAAAATGAACAACAACAAATTACGCAAGAAAAACTACAATAGAACCAACAACAACCACAAGCATCAAACACTTTTTTTGGTGATATTTTTGCTAATATTTGTGGAGATGGACCTGACATCACAAATTATTATCAACAGTTTTGTTTCAATTAATGTATGTGTACGTTTTCAGGGAAGGAGGATTCGTTTATGTTTTCGTTTATATACAAGTAATTTCCCCCTTTATTTGCATTCAATTGTAGATCTATTTATTAATATCAATGTACAAATTTTTTGTTAATTATCTCAAATTTATTGTGTTTATATTATTTATTTTCTATAAATATCACATGTCTTTATTTCTATATATATATATTTTTGGATGACAATAAATTTAATTTTGAATAATACAAATGTGATCTATTAAATCAATTAAATATATACTCAGAAAGTTAATAACTTTATTAATATATACACAATAGTTATAAACACAGTAATTAATGTAAAGACACTAAAACATAACCATATCTCTCAACTAGCGGCCAAGAATACTCTCTACTCTAAACCCTAGCCGCCAAACAAAGCCGGCGGCCACCATCTACGGCCTTATAGCCGGCAGTTTGCCACCGGTGGCTCCCTCTGAGCCGCCAAGATCTTTTGCAAGCTTTTTCCAAAAACCGCTTAATGTGGTGGATAATAAAGACTCACTTATTAAGCCGATTAAATTTATTAATGGTACTCCAACACTGGAATACAAAGAAGACGAGTTTGAGAGGTTGGTTGCACCGCACCGACTATGCTTGGTCGGAAAATTTTCATATGGCCGGCCAAAAATGGATGAAATCCATAAAGAGTTCAAGAAAATCGGATTCAATGGAGCATACACCCTGGGCCTCATGAACCCTTGGCATGTTCTAATCCGTTTTGAGCAGGAGGATGATTATCAGAGATGTTGGATGAGAACCTTTTGGAACATCAGAGGGTTTTCGATGAGAATATTGAAGTGGACGTCGGGTTTTAGGTTTGAGGAAGATCCCCCGGTAGTCCCAATTTGGGTCTCCCTCTTCGACTTGCTAATTGAATATATGCATCCGGAGGTGATATCAGCTCTGGGTCAACCATTGAAGGTGGACACTCCAACATTGAATATGACGAGACCATCGGTGGCTCGGTTTTGTGTTGAAGTTGATCTCACAAAGGAACTTGTTAAATCGGTCAAGATAGGGAAGAAGGGCCGAAAACATGAACAGTTTTTTACTTTTGAGCACGTCCCTTTCTACTGTCAAAAATGTTGCAAGATAGGACATAAGGAATTTGTTTGTCGAATGGGGAAACCGTCACAGAAAAATCCGGAAGATGTCGCAGCTAAGGAAGATGGAACTAGGGCTAAGCAGAAAGGAATAAAAATTCCCCTTGTAAGGCCGACATGGAAACAACCAACCAAGAGTACTGAAGCAGGAGGTTAGAAGCAAGATTTGGAGATGGAAATAGTGAACCTGAATCCGTTGATTGTGAAATCGACTGCGGTGACATTGCAGTCGACGGGAATCCTAGCTCCGCAACTACCTGCGGAAACCCTAGCTCCGCAATCGCCAGCGGAAACCCTAATGCTGTGTGAACCTTCTACGTCGTCTGGTCTTTCAGTCCACGATAAAGCTCTCATCCTGGTTGATTTACAGGAAAGTCCCGTGCCAAATGTCACAAAAATCGTGACAGAAAAAATGACAACAACTCCTACTGGATCGCCAAAATTGATTACTGTGGTGCAGCCGTCAAATCCTTTCAGTGTATTACGGAATTTAGGCGATGATGCTGCACTGATAGAGGATTCAGAGGAAGATGAGGTTGTATTCGCAGAGGAGACAACAGCCCCTAACCAGCAACAATTACAAGATGAATTGTAGCACATGTCACTAATTCCGAATCCGATGGGAGAAAATTTGTGCGATGACTCCGTCACTAGAACAGTTAGTGAAGACGATGAAGAAGAAGCAGCGGCGGAAGAGTTCAGCTGGTCCGAGGGGAAAAGAGATAATGCTCATGTGGAACGGTCGGAAACTGGTGAGATCATTGCAGTTAAAAGGAAAAGGGGAAGGAAGTCCAAGGCGGAAAGAGCCAAATTAAATGAGGGTGTGGAGCTTTGGCGCTCTGCCCGCTTGCTTTGAATAACACGTGTATCTTATTCAATAAAACAATGATGATTAGTTACATCATTTGGAATATTCGTGGAGTTAGGAAGGAGGCGTCGTTGCGGTGCTTGACATCTTTGATTGACATTTACAAGGTCTCTTTTCTTGTACTTTTGGAGCCTATGCTCCCAAGTAATGAACTAGAAGTAATAAGGAGGCAGCTCCGCTTTGACTGTGGTTTTTCTTCCTCGTCAAGCAAGATTTGGGTTCTATGTAAAAAGGGTATTTGGATGACACTGCTTGGAGGCTCGAAGCAGGCTTTGCACCTGGAAATAGAACATCAATCCTTGAATCTAGTAACTCTGGTTTCCGCTGTGTATGCAAAATCAACTAGGGTTGCTAGAAGGGAGTTATGGACTGAGCTACAAGGTTTCCGGCATCACCACCCCGATTCTCTTTGGTTAGTTGGGGGAGATTTTAACATCATTCGCTCGCTTGATGAGTATTTGGGAGTTTCAGTTCAAGATCAAGAAGCCATCGGTGAATTTAATAACTTTATTGAAGCCTCATCACTAACGGAATTGCTTACTGTAGGGGAAGACTTCACATGGGGAGGTACAAGGCGGACGGGATGGGTAAGCAAAAAGTTAGATCGTATCCTATTCTCCCAAGAATGGCTGAACCATTTTCCAATAGCCTCGATGGAAAACCTAAACCGAACTTCCTCTGACCACTGCCCTATGTTGCTTCAATTTAAACCCTCAACGGACCAGCAGCCGAAAAGCTTCTGGTTTCAAAATATGTGGCTAAGAAAGGCTAATTTCTTGGATGTGGTAGAGAAGAACTGGAATGTGCCTATTGGTTGTTTTGGCATGTTGCGGTTTTCCTCGAAATTGCGACGTTTGAAGCTTAACCTAAAGGAGTGGAATAAAACGATTTTTGGTAACGTTTTTGATAACTTAAAGGTGGCTGAAAAGAAAGTTCAAGAGTTCGAATTGAAATTTGATGCCACCCGATCTGAGGAAGACAGAACTCAGCTTCATTTAGCTCGTGCTGAATTGTTATTAAAACTCAAGGAGCGTGAGGACTTTTGGAAGCAGAAAATGAGACTAAAATGGTTGAAGGAAGGGGATTGTAACTCATCTTTCTTTCATGCTGCTCTTACTGAGAAAAAAGCTAAGATGAGTGTGCATAAAATTCAGAATGATGCTGGGGATTGGCTCACTGAAAAACAAGATATTGAAGCCCAAGCCACAAAATTTGTTGAGTGTCTTTTAAAGGAGGAAAATGTGGTACCGCGGATTGATGCTCAGGAAAGGTTTTTACAGCACATCCCCTTGATTCTTGGGCAAGAAGATCATCACTTACTCTTGGGTGAGATAACCTTGAATGAAGTTAAGAATGCTGTGGAAAGTTTTGATGCCAACAGTGCGCCAGGAGCGGATGGATTTGGAGGCTCATTTTATAGGGCTTGCTGGAATATTATAGGAGCAGACCTCCTAAACGCCTGTAAAAAATTCATGATTGGAGTTCCTCTTCCAAGAGCGATTGGGAGTACTCTTGTTACTTTAATCCCTAAGAACACCTCTATCACAACCTTTTCGAACTTTAGGCCGATAAGCTTGTATAACTTCATCAATAAGATTTTTACGAAGATTCTCACGGAAAGGTTGAAGAAGGTGCTACCTAAATTAATCTCTGAGGAGCAATCGGCTCTTTTGGCGGGCCGGGACATCAATGATAATATCATGCTTACTCAAGATTTGTGCCAGTTCCTTAAACACAAAGCCGTGGGTAATAACGTGGTCCTAAAGGTGGATATGATGAAAGCTTTTGATCGCGTTTCTTGGAGCTTTCTAGCAGCAGTGTTATTGAGGTTTGGCTTTCCTTCTCATTTTGTTTCTCTGGTTTTAAATAACCTACAAAATAGTTGGTTTTCGGTTTTGGTGAATGGCAATCCAACAGGTTTCTTTAAGGCAAGTAGAGGAATCAAGCAGGGTGATCCTCTTTCCCCCTTTTTGTTTATCGTTGTCTCTGAAGCGATGTCACAAAGGTTGAAATGGTTGATGGAACAAAGAAGAATTGGTTGTTTTGGTACTCCAACTGGCTCCACCTATGTCTCCCACCTTTGTTTTGCTGATGATCTCATTGTGTTCACCCGCGGTTTGCAAACGTCTTTGAAGGTATTGAACAACTTCTTTGAGGATTATGAAATGGCGTCTGGTCAAAAGGTGAATAGAGAGAAAAGTAATTTTTATGTGGACGAAGGTTGTAGTTACTCCCGGATTGCAACAATCACTCGGTGTCTAGGCATACAAAAAGGATCCTTTCCTTTTGTCTATCTTGGATGTAGGATATTTTTAGGGAGGAAAAAGGCCGCAATCTTTCAGTTTATACTAGATGCATTGGAAGTGAAGTTATCGAATTGGAAGAATAAATTCCTTAGTCAAGGTGGGAGGCTTGTGCTAATTAAACATGTGTTGTCCGCCATCCCAATACATGTTTTTGCGGCCATTGAGCCTCCGAAATCAATCTTCAATGCCATTGCTCACCGATGCCGACGGTTCCTATGGGAAGGAGTGGAAGGTGATGGAAAAAAGCACTGGAGATCCTGGAACCGACTTACCTACCCAGTGCTGGAAAATGGTGTTGGATTGCGCAATTTTCAAGAGATTTTGAAAGCCTTTTCCCTTAAAATATGGTGGAAGGTTAAACATAAGCAAGGCATTTGGGTGAATTTCGTGCTCTCTTTGTCGCATTCTGCGAGGAAAAGAACTTCTTGGAGCCGGTTTACCAAAATTGATCATCTTGCATCATCTTTTTCAAAGGTGTTGGTGCATAAAGGAAATAGTAGCTTCTGGTTTGATCAATGGTCAAGTTTGGGCTGTATATGGGACATCCAGGATACGGAACCTCCAATGCCAAATCTTACAATCCGGGAGTTTTTCTCAATGAAGAATCTTTACTTACAAGCAATTCGGGGTTGGTTGGAGGATAGAGCTTTTCATGTCTTGGAGGAAATGGATTTATTCTTCAATGAGGGGGAAGATAAACTGATTTGGAAGCTGACCCCATTGGGAGTATTCACAATCAAGTCCGCATATGAAGCATTGCGGAGGAGGCAAGTTGAAAACCCTAGCCTGCGGAATGTATGGCATAAATTCATTCCTTTGCGCATCTCCTTTTTCATGTGGAAGTTTGGTAATTCACTTCTCCCGTTTACGGAGAATTTATGTAGAATGGACATTTACTAGCAACCTTCAATTTGCTGGAAGTGTAAGTCTTCCTCGGATTCAATGAGGCATCAATTCCTTGAGTGTGCTTTTGCGCGCCAGGTCTAGAATTTTTTTGCTGAACTTTTTGGTCAGGTTGCGCATGGCTCAAGCCTTGGAGAATATTTGAATTCATGGTGGATATCAGGGAACTTTAAAACAGCTATTGGGGTCATAAAGAAGGTTCTGCCATCCTTTATAGTGTGGGAGCTATGGAAGGCGAGGAACAAGTTCTTTTTTGAAAATGTTGACTCCACTTTTTCAGGTGTCATCAAAGCTGTCAAAGAGCATCTTCATGGAATGATGCTAGTCCATATACTTAAGGCTCGAAAGGTTGTAGAGAGGGAGTCACTTCAGCTGATCTTTCCGAATACACCTTTCAGCCTAAAACAGAAAAAGGTGTGCAAGGTTTCTTGTTAACAACAGTGCAAGCATGTGTTGAACACTGATAGATCTTCCAACTCCCAAGCTGCCGGGTATGGCTTTGTAATCCGAGGTGAGAAGGGGTTTTTTCTTTATGGGGAAGCTAGATTTTTGGGAAGTGGAGATGGTCTTCAAGCGGAGGTTTATGGCCTTTTATTTGGAGTTCAGAAATGTGAGCATCTTGATCTGTTCCAGGTGGAAGTTCAAACGGATAACTAATTTCTGGCAAACATTCTTGCCTCTGGAGGTCCTTGTCCGTGGAGATTCTATTGCGAGTTGAAAGAGATTCGAGCAATTCTTGAGAGAAGGGATTACTCTATACACCATATTTACAGAGAAGCGAATGCAGTAGCAGATAGTTTAGCTAGATGTGCTTCAGATGAAGTTTCAGCAGAATTTTTATCCTTAGGAGATCTTCCGAATTTAACTAGGGGTCTCATTACTCTAGATCAACAATCTATGCCGTATGTGAGAGTGCGGTAATATTTCAGATGTAATAGTGAGATAATATTTTTTGTATCCTGGTAAGTTGTATGCACTGCCAGCTTTGACCTATGAATTTTAATAATATATAGGGTAAGGAGGGAACTAAGGAACTGGGTGATATATTTGTTCATCCCTTGGGTGCGTTTATATCATCTGGCTATACCTGACTTAAAAATCCATCTCTTGGGTAGACCCCTTGAGTGTTTTTGAGCCAGTTAGAACCTGAATCCTCTTCTGAACCTTCTTTTCTGGCAAAAAAAAATAATAATTTAAAGACGCTATATTATAAAAAACACAATTATCTAAATGCAAAAAAGTTAATAAAAAAATCAGATACGAAATTGGTGCTCACGAACACTAATTTGGTGCCATGAATATTGCCATCGATGGGATGGTTATTGGCATGATTTAGTGCTATCCCTTGGGGATGGTCTAAAAATACAGTAATAAAATGACAAATGTTGTGGCTAAAACAGGTTTGACTTTTTATTCGGTTCCCCTTTATGGATAGTAAACCGGATGTGCATCTATTTTATAGACAATATTTCTTCTCAGAGAACTCCTTATAATAGTACCTAGTGTACTTTTGCTTCCTTATTATACTAGTTTTGTCTCGTCGCAATATGCACGATGCAAGCCCATATTTATGTTAATTTTAATTATATTTCTTGATTGCAAACAAAATAATTATAAAAAATCAAAAGATACCGGTCTATACACAGAGATAGGATGGGGTGTTTTCACCGTAGTGTTCGTGGTTTGTGAGTATCATTGTCGTGTAATAGTTTCTTGAAATATTTGTCATCTATACTGAGTGGATAAAAAACATTTATCCAAACCTCCCGCACTAACCACTTGATCAAAGAAAAACTCTTGCAAACCAACCGATGTTAATGATTCAGAAACTCCCAATAACAAATAATGAGGTATCAACCATGCAACACACATGGGAACGGTGTCCTTAGTCTTATCTATCAAGTCATGATTCCTAGCTGTTTTCAGGCGCTTCATCTCGACTAGGACTTCTATAGACATGAATGGTAATGAGATGAACAATCTGGTTCTAATCCACAGCAACATAGTTATCTATGATGGCTTTCTCGTTAGGATTGTTATAATTGGAATGATGATGCAATCGAACATTGAGATGAAAACAACTATTGTGATGCGGATAAAGGCTATTAAAGAAGCATGTGCTACTTTTAAGCTAGAACTGATGTATCTGTTCATTGGACCTTCGTGCTTCGTGATAAAAGTTGATGATTATGAGTATACAATTTTATAAACCAAGTAACTGATCCATATTGGAACTAACCTAAGAAGTGGTTTTGCATCTTCAACATCGTTCTTTGATGCATTTAAAAATGCACAACCGATTCTCATAAAGGGGCTCCTTCGGTCATCATTATCACAAGACCGGTATGTCATAGTTCCAGTGAGAAAATGATCAGTGCTATAGCAACAAAAACACATGTAATTCCAAATCCAATGCCCCAGCTAAGGTTGTCCTGAATATAGGTCAAAACCACTAATACAATGACACGCAAACGCAAACAAAAATACCACCAATTGAAGAAAGAACTTTTAGCTTTACTTTCTTTTGAGGTCGTTTCCATCGAATTAGTCAGTGATGAATGCTCAAGCACAAAGTTTGGGCCTCCTTGGTCTAGAAAAACTAGGTACAACGAAATAAAAAGTAAGATAATTTGAAGGCTTGGTGGTGAACATGGTGTTGCATTGGTAGTGATTCAGAAACTCTTAGTAATAAATATGTATTATTGTATTATCCACATAACACTTGTGGCAACAGTCTCCATTGGCTCATTGATTAAGCTGTGATCTAAGACTATTTATAGGCACTTCTTCGAATCGAACGGTAAATTTAAGCGATTTCAAGCTTAAAACTAATTTGCCTCCTGCACTAACTACTTAAGACGCTCATAAGTCATTTCCTTATTTTTTTATTTATTTTTTATTTTTATTTTTATTTTTTATTTTTGTAGAAAGCAACAGAATAAATGTCATATCATCATCATAGCCTCTAAAAGGTGCATATAATAAAACAAACTCAGAATAAGTTCAACTCAATAATCTAAGAGATACAACTCTCAAATTACTCATTACTAACGCTCTCAATTCCTTCATTGCACACTTTGTTGGCTTCTTCAATCAGTCCTCTCAACATCCCCATCTCCGTTTCCATGTGTTCAACTCCAATTGACTCTTTAATAGTGTAATCGCCAGCAAAATGACGCAAGAAATGCGTGCTTGTATCTGGAATGCTCTGAAGCTTTTGGAACGAGCCAAGAGCAAAAGTGCCACACTCGACTAAGGCAACCAACATCAACACATTTGAACTCCAATCTGGAAACAAGCTTGAACTTGTTTCAAACTCCTCCTCAATATGTGACTTTGATTGCTGAATGGCTTGCATCTTCTGGAATAGAAGAGGATGAGCTTCAACACGCATCATGTTCTTTTTCAAATTATAATCAGCCACAAAGATGGGCTCCAATGGTGCCAACTTCTCAACAATGATCGATCTTCGCACTCCAGCCAAGTTCTTTTGAATGTGAGTTTCCCTTAGCGCTTGATAAGAACGTGCTGCATAGGCTCCAGCATTAGCATAACGTCTCACCATTTGATTATGATGATGGGGATCCAAACTACACCACAACCTCCTCCTAGTACTGCAAAATACCTGTCCAAATGATGGGGATATAAGTCATTTCCTTATATCCTCACCCTATAAAGCGAGCAAGGTGAGCTGTCCTTTTTTATTTGAGTATATTTAAACATTGATTAATAATTTTTTTCATTACAACATACTTTTAATCATTATTATTAGGATTGTTATTAAAAATTCTATTTTAGCCACGAGATACATCCTTGCAATTGCACATAGACTGGCCGAACTCATAGAACTGTACCTTACAAACTCCAGAGACATTTTTTTGGTGATCTCATTTGTTGCAACATTTTTGTGCCTAATGGATTTCTATAGTTGTGTCTTTAATTTTCTTACAGATGCCTAAAGCAACATTTGGTTTTAGTATCCACTGAAAATTATAAAAATACAGAGAAAAGTATATGCAAAAAACATTAACTTTTTTAGGGTTAGTTTCTTAGCACAAACTAGTTAACTACATCACCATAATCAAATTTCTTGTAATAAGTCTTTATTGCGATTTACATCCTCCGTGCAAAAAAAAAAACAAAAGGTGATATACACCATCTGTGCAAAAAAAGAAAAAAATGAAAAAGAAGATTATATTGATTAGGAATATTATGTATTAGAGGAGATTTGTACGGTTTGTTATTTAAATCACCCGTGTAAAATATCAAACACTAGAATTACACCATAAATATATTTTAAAACAAGTATGATAAGTTAGAGGATTAAAGATAATAGAGTATTGCTCGAGGTTCACAACTAATAGTATAAATATTATAGACGCGTAAATAAGAGTGAACCATAAAACAGTTCATCAAACTATTGGGTAATTTCATCACTGCTTATAAATCAAATTTATTTATAATACAGGACCCTTTACCAGGAAAAAAAACAATCCATCTGAGGTAATTCCGTTACTTTTGGCCGTTATATCATAACAGAAAGCTATTTTTCACATGCAAAACATATGAGTTGGCTCTAGGGGCAGTTTCTTCATTTTGTTTTTTTAAAAAGTGATTTTTCAAAAAAAAATTCTAATACTTCCTAATTTTATATGTTGATATTGATGTAATTACGAAATTTCAGAAATTAATTTAGCTTTCGTATTTCAACTTCTAACTTATAAAAATATTAAAAATTATATTGTTAAAGATTATGAGCATTTATTTTTTTCATGAAATTCAATATTTGCTTACATTGTTAAGCCATCGAAAAATTAACAATAATAATTACAGTGAACAAAATAATCATTTTAAGATAATTGAAAGAGTGAATTTGTATTTCGTTACTAATTTATCTATTACAAGGAGTCAAGAAGAAACAATTTTTATTAACTTATTCTTTATGATTTGTTTTTGTTTCTTTGTTGTTTAAAATGGTAAACTATTAATTTTCTTGTTTAGTTCAACTTAAATTTTTCTTCTTCATTTTCTTTATTTTTAAAAATTTTTAATAATTTAGAAGTTGAAACACAAAAATTAAATTAATTCCTGAAATTTACTAATTACATTAGTATCAATATATATAAGTTAGGAAATATAATGATGTGATTAAGAATAGGCCATTGAGAGTCATTTCCAGTTATGATGATCATTTCATGTTATTTGATCACATAATGAATTGTTGGAATCTAGTCGATGTTGGTATAGGAGATAGTGGAAGGTTGAAGCCAAAAAATACAAGTCAAAAAAAATGTAGCATGGTTCTGTCGGCCTACCCATTGGCAGCTTCACTTTGACTCCAACGACGACGGCACTATTTTCTAATTTTTTTACTATATTTTTAAATTTCTTGAATTTCTGATTTTTTAATTATTTTCCATTCCATGTAAGTTATGGCCGGCCCTAATACCCTCTATTAATAGAAAGTCGGCCTCCATTGTAAAACAAAAAAAGACTTTGGATGAAATTTAATCATGAAAAACAAAAGATGATATCTTTGTTCTTAATCCTTTAGGGGTTAATTTGGCTTGTGCGAATCAATAGACCTGCACTTGTGACCATCATGCCGTTGAGTCTAGTGTTCTCAATTGGTGGAGATATGTTAGTTGTTTCATAAAATTTTATCAAACCGTTTTCGTCAAAAATTATAGGGCGAGAGTTGTTTGGGGATTATCATGATAAATTACCCATGAAGGACATGGAAGCAACCCCAAGATTAAATTGCTAACAACCGTCACCCTAATTTTTGACGAAAATGGTCTGATAAGATTTTATTAAACTGCTAATAAATCTACACTAATTGAGAACACTAGACTCAATGACAAGATCGTTCCAAGTGCAAGTCTATTAATTCGCCCAAGCCAAATTAACCCCTAAAGGATTAAAAACAAATTGATTCTCTCTAGTTTTTCATAATTAAATTTCATCCAAATATTTTTTTTTAACAATGGAGGCCGAGTTTCTATTAAATAGAGAGTATTAGCGCCGGCCATAACTTACATGGAATGAAAAATAATTAAAAATTCACAATTCAAGAAATTTAAAAATATAGTAAAAAAATAGAAAAATAGTGCCGTCGACTTTGGCGACCACGTGAAGTAGCCGACGGGTAGGCCGACAAAACCATGCTGCATCTTTCTTGACTTGTATTTTTGACTTCAATCTTACATCATCTTCCATACCAACATCGACTAGATTCCAACAATCCATTATGTGACTAGATAAAATGGAACGATCATCTTGATTGGGAATGACTCCCAATGGCCTATTCTTGATCACGTCATATAAGAAAAATTGTAAAAAAAAATAATTATTTTAAAAAAATACAAAATGATGAAGTTTCCCCTAGAGCCAACTCACATGTTTTACATGTAAAACATCGATTTCCATTATGGTTTAAAGGTCAAAAGTAACGGAATGACGTTAGATGGATTATTTGTTTAGTAAAGGGTCCTCTTTTATAAATAATTTTGATTAATGACCTGTGATGAAATTACTTAATAGTTCGATAACCTGTTTTGTGGTTCACGATTTCATGATGATAAGGGCCGCAGTTATTATCCATTTAATCAAACTCTAAAATGGGGGTAAAACAAATGATTATTATAGGATATTTTTTTAGTTTATTCGCAGTCAAAATGAGAGAGAATAGGGTAAATATTGTAGTAAATTTTATATTTTTGGATATTGAGATTTTATTGGAAAAAATATGTTGGAACAATACGAAGGTTAGGGTTTCAGAATATGGGGAAAAACTTCTTACAATGATTATTCCAAAATGCCGTCAATAATATCTGTACAAGATGGTATTTATATACAAACTAATTGACTAAGTCAACTAAGCCTATTTACTTATTTACACCTTGTATTATGTAGAAATACTAATCTAAACTATACAACTATATAAGTCAATTATACAAGTCAGGATATCCTAAAATCAAACACTTCACTTTGTGATTGTCCATTAGGCATACTGTCCAACACGCCCTCCTCAAGATGAGATTGGGATAAGCCCATCTTGTCAAGTAAGACATCAAAACAGGCAGAAGGAAGAGACTTAATAAGCAAATCTGCAATCTAATGTGAAGAACCATGTGATTGAGGGTGACAATCAATGTCAATGTGCTTCGTCCTCTCATGGAAAATAGGGTTGGCAGAGATATGGAGTGCAGCCTTGTTATCACACCAAAATGCAATAGGAAGACGAGCAAAAACTTGCAGGTCCTTAAGAACAAAGCTAATCCACTGAAGCTCCTGAACGGTGATGGCCATGGCTCGGTACTCTGCTTCAGTAGAAGAGCAAGAAATAGTACATTGTTTTTTTTTTGTTTTCCACGAAACCAAACACCTCCCAGGAAAACACAATAACCTGTCAAAGAGCGACGGGAAAAAGGGCAACTACCCCGGTCGGCATCACTATACGCTTCAGGCTGCAAGGTAGTTGAAATAGGATAGAATAACCCTTTCGAAGGATAACCAGCTAAGTACTGAAGAACATGATTGGCAACCTGCCAATGAGACTGTATAGGAGATTGTACAAACTGGTTTAGCTATTGAACAACATAAGCAAGGTATGGCCTAGTATAATTGAAATAGAGGAGTCGACCCACTAATCCTCTGTACTTGGCAGGATCAGAGTATGGAGGGCTAGAGTCTTTAGCTGAGAATCGAAAATCTTTGGGAAATGGCGTGGAAACAGGTTGGCAATCTAACATCTCATTGTCCCTAAGATTATCAGTTGCATATTAATGCTGACAGATGTACAAACCAGCTGAAGATCTAGGGATTTCCATACCTAAGAAATACTTAGTAGATCTTAGGTCTTTAATGGAGAAAGCATCATCCAAAAAAACGTAACCCTACCAATAAGTGCTTCATCAGAACCCGTGATGAGCACATCATCCACATAAAACCAACAGAAACAGTTTACAGGCAGCAGTTGTATAAGGAACAGGCAGTGGTCATTAACAGATTGAACAAAACCAAAAGCCAACAACTTAGAAGTAAATTCGGCATTCCATTGTCGAGAAGCCAGCTTAAGACCATAAATGGACTTTTTCAACTTACATACTTGACGAGGAGATGCCTTACTGTAACCAGGAAGAGGAAGCATGTAGACTTCCTCATCAATATAACCATGCAAGAAGGCGTTATTTACGTCTAACTGATGCAAATTCCAAGAATAAGAAGCAGCAACAGCAAACAGTATTCTAACAGTAACAGATTTGGACACCGGGTAGAAGATTTCAGAATAATCCTCACCCTCGACCTGAGTATACCCTTTTGCTACAAGACGTGCCTTAAACTTGTCAATACTGCCATCAGGCTTGCACTTAACGCGATAGACCTACTTAGAACTATAGGCTTCTTTCCATCAGGTAAGGGGGTTAATTCCTAAGTTTTATTTACTTTCAAGAGCAACTAATTCCTGGTTCATGGCACCTACCCATTTTACATTAGTTCTGGCCTAATTGTAAATATACGATTCTTGAAAAGTAGACAAATTAGCTACAAATGACTCATGAG